TAGGTAAAAAGAAAGAAAGAATGAAAAAAAAGAAGTATAGAAAGATAGATAGATAGATAGATAGATAGATGGATTCGTTGATTGATGGGTTATATATATATATACTTATTTATTTGTATGCAGATAGATAGATAGATTAGTAAATATAAAAGCAAGTGGATAAAAAAGGTGGGACAAAAAATAAATATCTAAAGGGATAAAAAAATGACGTAAGCTATACACCGAATAAGTAGTTTCCAAGACCATTTGAATAATAATATTAATAATGAACCAACTATCAGTCCCTTAGATGTGGTTTGGCCTCGGTTTTGCAACTTAGTCATGTTGTCAGAGTGACTTGGTTGAAAGCAACTTTTTCGAAGTCTTCTGCAATAGTGTCTATGCTAATCTCCAGCTTCGGACCGTCCCCTTGATACACCATTTTGATGTCAGTCCATTAACCAGCCTAAGCAACTAGAGATGATATGAGTCTTTTTATATGTTTAATGCAGTCGTTGATAAGAGATGTGCGCCTTTTTGGTTTGGAGATATCTCCCTATTTATGCGAAAGTGGATGTGAAGAGATTCGTTAGCTTCAATTTGGTTGTGACGATGATACCTTGCTTTGATGATGATCATCACATGACGGAATCAAAGGAAGAAAAGGTGGGTTTCGAGGAAGCTGTTGTTTCATGAATGTTGAGCTTACTTCCATTTCGAGTGAAAGTGTTGCGTGAAGAGATTCGAATGTTGGTTTTCTTGATTTGTTAGCTTTAATTTGGTTGTGACGATGATACCTCGCTCTGATGATTTCCGTCATATGACGGACGAAAGCTTAGCACCTTTTCACCGAAATCGAAGGAGATTGCCTTGGAAACAGCATGAATCTTCCAGTAAAGCCAATCGACAGCTGGTCAAGAGGAATCGGCCGTCGTCTTCTGGTGGAACCGGCCTTCGAATCTCTTCACGCAACACTTTTACTCGAAATGGAATTAAGCTCAACCAACTAAATGTAAACGTAATGTTTGCTGATCCGATTGTGGAAAACGTCAACTTCCAGTCCTCGTATCACCTTAAACCAAATAAGGTGAAAACATATCAGAACGGCATTCTTAGAAGCATATTCGAAAAAACGCAGCCAAAACTTGTGAATTTTGATGCGATGTAGAGTGATTTGGTCTTCCGGTAGGACTGATTTCCGACTTTCTAGATCACACACATTCGGAACTGAGCTCAACAAGCATACACCAAATGATTGTTCATCTGCCTCAGAACATGATAGACGAGCTGTCCTCCAATTGGAGTGTCACCAAGACTGCCTATTCAGGAGGAAAAAAACAGTATCTACGTCCATGACGTTGATGCTTACCTGGTGAAGGTGAAGTCGGGCGAAGTGGTCGGCAGGATCGGCTTGTCCACGGAGACCGAGGCGATGATGCTGGAGACGAGTGCGTCCCGAGCCGGTCTGGTTCGGGCAGAATGGCGCGGAACGCCAAAATGGACCGAACTGGCGAGGCCGCCGTCAAAAGAATAGCTTTTTTGGAGGTCCAATTCGTTGCTGGCCGACTCCATTACACACTCCTCCATCTCTTCTTCTTCATCCTCCTCCTCCCCCTCCCCCGCTTCCGCCTCCACCTCCACCTGCTCCTGC